GGCACACCAGAGCTTGATTTAATTTTCCCTTTCCTGGAGCCAGGCTGGTAACCGTTCTGGGTGGAATTCATCTCACGTCACTTGATCTACAGACAGCCTAGATGGTTAGCACAGACTAGATGTCTAACATTTAGACAGCTAAAATTGGGTGAGAGGACGCTGCCAACTGGCGTCTGCTTCCCAGAGGAGCGGGTTCTGGACTTGCGGGCACGGTGCTGGGAGGCAGAGCAGCTTTCTGCAGCAGAGCCCTGTCTCCCGGATGACAGGCAGGGTGGTTTAAACAAATTTCTGCAGCTCCTGACGGCCTGCTCTAGCACCATTTTAGGGCTAAAAAAGATATAAAAAAGCAGAGCTTTGCAGGATGCTCACTGTGTTTGACACACAAACCCCAGGCTCTGAAAATCAGCTCGACCTCTGGCTTTCTAGCACCACAGATCCTGAGATGCCACTGGCCTCGGGGTTTTTTTTGGGCTCCTCTATGTCTGAAGGAGGCCACAGATGAGATAAAGCACCACTGAACTACTAAAGCAACATGCAAAGTCACAGATGAAGGGTTATGGTTCTTTCTGCATGGGGGTGGCTCACGTTAGAGGGCTAGCATGTGGCGTGACGAGTTGTAAAAGCTGCTAGCTCTAAAATGCTGGCTGTAGCTGCAGTAAAAGGGAGTTCACTGACCTATTGCCAGGCCGGGCTCAGCAGAACATCTCTTCCAAAGCACAGACCCAGAAGTGATTCATTTTCCACCTGGGCACTGAGCAGGAATCGCTTCTTAGATGACACGTATCTCAGGACATCCTTGCCACCAAAGGGGAAAAGGACAAGCGTTTCCTCTGGGCAGAGGCTAGGGCACAAAGACACCTTACAAGTTAGAAATAAGCCAGGCATAAGCATTCAGGAGTGCAGCAGGATTCATAATTGGAGCTAAACCAGAAGCTTCAGAGTCACAAAGCTGCTTATCCACCAGCTGCCACAGGCAGGAGTCCAGCCCATGCCAATATATGCTGGGGGGGGACCAGCCGTACCTGTAGCTGCTGAGTGAAGAGCTTGAGTTAGTGCAGAGAAGAGCAGGTTAAAAAGAGTTAACTGTGAAAAGGAAGCGGAATGTGTAGGTCGTCAGACAGCTGGATTTGAGCTGTTCAGTTTGCAGAGACCAATCCCCTCCCTGGTCATCCTGTTTCTGAGAAGCTTTTGCTGGCAAATATGGAAAACCCCACATGTGCGGTGGCAAAGCAAGCTTTTCTCCTGCCTCTGCATTGAACTGGGGGTGTGAGATACAAATAAGTGCAGGCTGAACCAGGGACCTGAGCAAAACATTTGTGCATGGGAATCCAGTGGCTACTGATGCAGGCAGGTTCATGTGTGTTGACTCCCCCAGTTTTGTTGGATGAGGCCATGACTTTGATGTACTGGAGTATAAAGGAAGGGCACGCTCTCTCCCTGGACACCATCACATCAGCATCCTCTGAACACAAGTACCAAAGGGTTGTGGTCTCTGATCCATCCCAAAGTGTCCATGCCTGTGAGGGAAAAGCGTGAGAGGGAATTAAGAGGTGGCCAGTCCTGCTCTATGCTTTTTGTCATCCCCCAGATTATATATATATACAACTTTACTTCCTCCATGGTATTGAAGTGATCCAGTAACCTGAGCAGAGCAGAGGCAGAACTGGTCAGCACTGCTTTGGCAAGGGACATAAGATGGTGAGTGGACCAAGGCTAATGTCAGCACAAGGGAGAACAGTTAAGTCCTCCCCTGGCTGCGAGGTGGAGAGAACCAAATGCATTGTGTGCTTCTGCGGTGCCCTGCCAACAGAAACAATGACAGTGATGATAATCACTTGCAATCTGTTATTGCATTAACACGAGCTCAAAAATGGTAAAACCCAATAATCTTCTGAAATGAAGCTAATCCCCCCCCAGTGTAAATAACACACCGCATCGCAGTGCTTGGCGGCAGCAAGGCTGGGAGTGTTGGGGGGGGAAGGTTCTGCTTTTGAAAGGCTTGGCATGGTGCAGGCGGAGGGATTTGCTGGAAGCAGCCAGGCATGGATACCTGCTTGCCAGGAGAGGCTCTCTGCAATCCTTCCATTTGGTTGGCTTCCTTTGACCCTGTTGCTAAGCTACAAATATGCCTTTCCAGCAAGCTCCAGCATCCTCGCTCCCACCCACTCCCAAGCGCAAACTGAATCAGCCTGCTCAGAAGAGAAACCATCTCTGGCCAGCAAAGAGCCTTTTTTAACTCATTTTCCACCCCCCCAGTATCTCTGCAGAGTGGTACTTGGTTATAAAGAACACTCACTCTGCCCCATGCCAACCCAACAGCCTCAGGAGCTTTGTTAGGAGGAGTGTGGAGAAAAGCATATTATACCATACCAGGTGATGAAACCTGGCACTGCTCCGTTGCAGCAAGAATAGATGAGGATACCAGCGACTCAGAGAAGTAGCTACCACCTACCTGCACACATGCTTGCTCACCCTGATGCAAGCCACGTTAACACTTCAGGACAGCAGATGTTTTATGGCTGGGTGAATGCTTTCTGACCGTGTGCTGGTGTCCTGCAGAACAGCGTGCTGGAGGGTTGTCTGCAGACCCCATGCTCAGTGGTCTCTTCTGCCATCCCTGGGATGTTAATAGGGTCCGAGTCTCATCCTCATCAGGACCATCACAAGTTGTCAGGGCTGCCTTTTGGCTCAGTGGAAGGTAATGGATGCTCCTTGAGTTCACTTCAAGCCAGCCTAGGGAGGGCGTCTGACATGAGCCAGCTGCAGTGCAGGTTGCTGCAAAGGTTTCTGTGTAGTCCTCGGGAGCTTAATTTGGTCCATATAAACCTCAGGAAAGCTTATTAAAGCTTTCCCAAAACCCTGGCTTTATATAGACCACAATATACCGGCCTGACTTTTGCCATTATCAGGATACTTGTATAAGCAGTCATGTTTACAGGTAAATGTCCTCTGAAGACTCCTCCAAACCATCCCCAAACAACTATATGACTCAGTATAATCGTTTACACGCTTTTCATCGACTATCAACCAATTCTAGTTATTAAGGCCAGATTTCTGATCTCCACATGGGGGAGTCCATAAGCAACTGCTGTCTTAATTGATGGATCTGGTGGTTCTGCATCCAAGTGTTTCCTTGGCAGATGCTAAGTCTGGAGCTCAGATTAACACTTACATGTCATACGTGTTAATGTATGACAGTAAACAAAGTGGACCCCCAGACTTGCAGGTATGCATGTACATGCAGGCAAATGGATGGAAGTTAAGTGTTGAAATGGCTTAGAAAAGCAGGATCCAACAGCTCTGCTGTCACACAGGGATAAGAGGGACAGAGCTGCCAAAGATGCTGCAGGCCCCAAGAACGCCTTGGGCTATGGCTCAGCGTGAGGAGGGAGCAGAGTGCTCCTGGCAGAGGCTGGTTCTTTTCTGGTGAACCAGGAGAGGGATTTGTCTCCCCTTGGAGAAGCAGAGGCTGCCTTAGGAGGATGCTGTCCTTGGATGAAGGAGCTAGAGGTAGCCTGTTTATTGTCCCAGGACACGGGGGGCAACGGAGCTGGGTTTAGTCCCTGCTTTTGTTCTTTGCTCACCTCCAAGGGGGAGATCTTATTCACACCTTCCTCATACAGTAATTCAGTGCGGGTTCCCATTTAAGGGTATAAACGGGCAGTTTGGGGTCTGCCTGCCCTGCAGTATCCAAGACCCAGGGTATCTTCCATCCCTGCCCCAATGCAGCCTTAGACAGACTTTGAACGTACCTTCTAACTCCTCTCCTTCTCTTTCTCTTCCAGGGTTCAGCTCCCATCCTGGTAGTCATGGTGATCTTACTAAATATTGGAGTTGCCATTTTGTTTATTAACTTTTTCATCTAATTCAAGACTGTCTTGTTTGCAAAAATAACAGTTACATGTATGAATGGGGGGAAAAAAATCCCGAACAACAACAACAAAAAGGGAAAAAAAAATCCTAAGTCGAACTGTCCTACGACAATTTCCAAGTCTTTTCACAGAAGAACAACAAACGATCGAGTCTCACTCACAGTTTGCCTTTTTTCCTGGGTAATGTTTTTTGGATTTTAGCCAAAATTCTTTGCTTGTATAACACTATGCTGTGTGGCATGGCAAAATGCTATCAACACTCTGCCCCCCCAACACTGGAAAGGATGAGAAGGAATCCCAACAAAATAAAAACCTCATTTCCCTTCCCCTCACCCCACAAAAAATATATTCAGAACAACAGCAATGAACCCCAAAATGGAGAGTAGATAATGCAGAGGGGACCATGGGGAGATTTTGTTTGATGTACGGGTCCTGGGATGCTCCGGGCTGAGCTTCCCAGGGAAATCCACAACAGCTTTAATGATAAATGGGAGAGAAAAAGCAAAATCAGCCTTTTCTTCCTTCTCCCCTCGCAAATGGAGAAGCGTTGCTGTAAGAAGGAGGAGAGAAGGAGCACAGGGAAGCATGAACCCTGTCTGGATGCAAAAGATGAGAGAAGGGCAATGGGCCCCATTTTGTTACTTGTTTTTAAAACAAAGCAGCAATTGGTGTTTTGTTAAATTTCTTGGGGCAGGGGGGGAATAGGGAACACAAGGTGTGAGCAGCAGCCCCACCACACTCCTGCCTTCACTCCTCCTCCTCCCCAGGCTGCTCCCCACCATGGCAGGGCTGGAAAACCACCCACTGCTACTTTTAATTCACAGCAGATTTTACCGGGGTAAAACCCAGATTCCCCCCAAAAAACACAGAGGCACGTTCAGCAACACAAATTGAGTAGCTGCTGGTCATTGTGCTATGCTCGCCACCACGCGAGGAGCAGCATTAACTCGAGCATCCCACCCCAAACACAAGCGTGAACAGAGATGCTGGGGAGCAGACTAGTGGGGAGGGACTGGGGAGAGAGGGCTTGATTCTGATCCACTTCGGATAACAATAAATCATAATAAAGCAAAATAAGGTAAAACTGTTCTTCAAAGGCATCTGGGGAGGAGCACTGGAGCATGTCCCAGAGAGGAGGGCGAGGGTGGTGGGTTTGTCTCTTTACATCTTGCTGTGGACTGTTTCAGACATCATGCTTGGGCTCTAAGCATGTGGTATTTTGCACTTTGTAATGCAGGATGTATATTCCAGCTTCCAACATGTCCCTGTAAGAAAAAAAAAAAAAAAAAGGAAAAAAAAAAGAAAAAAAGAGAAAAAAAAAAAAGAAAAACAAAAAACCCAAACATCATTGGCAATGGCAACCTCTAAGGATGTATTATTTACTTTTTTTTTCTATGTCACTTAATTTGTTCGTTTATACCATCTTTGTAATATGCCTGCCTTGATTTTCTCCCCTCCCCTGTCCCCACTGATAATATGCATACTCATTAAAGATGCCGTATCCCTGTTCTGAGCTGTTATGGTCCCCATCACACGAGTGCAGCCTTAGCTCAATTGCTTGGAAGCGGCCAATGGCCCCTTGCTTCTCAAAACTGACTCCACTGGTACCTTGTCCCCACCAGGTATGGTCCAAATAGCTTCAATTTGGGATTTGGTACGTCCAGGGACCAAATTCCACCCTCAGTTCTACCCACTGCAGCGCCAGTCAGCAGGAGAAGGGGTGCGAGCATGGCAGCAACCCGAGGGTGGGATGAATCCCTTTCCACAGCTACAGTTGGGGGGAGGAAGGAGGGAACAAATCCTCCTTGACATTTCACATACAGAGGTGTTGGGTACAGCCCTGACTTGCGGACTCAGCTTTGCTTTGCTTCTGTTTTAGCTGTTTCTCTGCTACCTTTTCAGCAGATTTCTTATTACATTGCACTGGATTGCTATATTTTTAACCAGAAATAAACTAAGGATTAGAGCATGTGCCAGTTAAATTCAGTTCTTTGCCTTACATGGTCTTACTCCCTCCTGTCGCAGTTTCTCTTCCTCTTTTTCTTCCTTTCCCTTTTCAGGCAGAAGGGCTATGGGTGGACAGGGTAAACGAGAACTGAAGGCAGCAAGACCCCCTGTAACTTTGATTTCATTTTCCACAGTAACTGTCATCTTCATACATTTTTTGTTTAGGTTTGGTTTGGTTTTAGGTCTTTAGTAATCTTTTTTACTCTTGAATGGTTGCTGCATACTTGAACCAAATAGCAACATGTTGTGGTTGCAGCCCTAGGAACTCATCCGTGTGTTTTGTAACTCTTTGTAAAGACTGTCAAGGATTTCTTTTGTACATTCAGGTGCATGACACAAAGGTCCCACCAGGAGCAGGTTCAACAGTTACATACAAACACGGTACTATATTTAGATATATATATAAAACAGCAAAAAATGCCTCTTGTTATTAATCAAATAAAAGTACTAGTGATTTCATGAGTAGCTTTTTCATGCTGGTGACTGACTGATTACTGCTCTTACCCCTGTACCAGCAGTTAGGGTTTTTCATTGCTTTGTTCCACAATATAAAGCTCCACGAGATGAGGTTTGTCCAATATGAAAGATAGCCAAAGACTAATATCAATTGGGCCCCAAACCATGTGCTTAAAAATCGTGATTTCTTTATTAACCATGGGGAGCTGAGCAATCTGTCTTAGTTCTGGGCTTTTCACATTTGCCCAAGGCCAGAAATATCCTTGAGAAATAGCCCAGAGAGAGAGTTAATTCAGTATATTTCCCTATCTTATAAGCCCTAGATTCATGCATCTCTACCTAAGGCACATTAAAATGTCTACCATCATGGCATATAAATCTATGTAAATTGTCCATACCTGCTGTTTTATGTCCACACTGACAGATGCATGTGAGCAGTTGAAGGTTTACATCAGTTTTTTTGGCTGCAGTGGTATTTTTAGGTTCCTACAGTGGAACATGCAGCACCTGAAACGCAAGGAGGGGCTGAAGAAACCAGCCCACCTCCTACCATGGCAGTAAAGACATCAGGAAGAGGGTGTCTAACCCTCCCCAGGGACCCCTGGCTGGACCCTACCTGTGTGAGCGCTGTGCTGATTTGATGCAGCATCTTCAGGGAAGGCAAGAAGGAAGGAATACAAAACTCCTCTGCCTGCTCATGCCACATCAGCTTCTCATCAGCCCATCTGGTGTCTGGGTTGCTTGTACCCAAGACCTAGATTCTCTGAGCACGCTGGGACTCTCCAGGGCCTGATCTTTCAGAGATCTTGAGTTGTTGCAGCATCTATTTACCTTGTGTGGAGTTATAAAGCACTGCTGGGGAAAAATAACCATCCAGACTGCAACAGAAGGGGAGGGGCAAGAGGAGAAATACTGTCTTATGACGATGAAGGTCTTAATTGAAACCCAAGGACTAACTCTTTGTCCTGACAGGCTTTGGCAAGATAAGGGAGGATAGAAAAGCAGCCATTTCTTATACCTGTCACAGGGTGAGGATGGCTGCAGACATTTGTGCTAAAGCAGAACAGAGCAGAGGCCGGACTGGATCCTGTCTGACAGCACAGATTCACGGCGTGTGGGTAAACTGTCTGCCCCAGATGGGCCACGCAGTCTCTTGACATGGTGGCAAGTTTCCTGGTGTAGGGAAACCGGTCAGTTCCTTGCACAGCCCCTAAATGAACTGCATCAGTCCTGTTGTTGCCTATTCCCAACCTTCACAGCAAGGCTCCCTGAGCAGCTCTGCAGCCCAAGGCTTGAGCCACTGCTGAAGGCAACCCTGAGCACAGCAAGCACTAGAGATACCATGCCTTTGAGCAGCAAATCCACCAGGACTATGCTTCCCTCAGAAGCATTTCAAGCTCTTGAGTTCCCTTTATAGGTCTGTTTTAACTAATATTAACCCACAGGCACTCAGCTACAGAACTACCACCAACCTGTTTTTCCAGGGTAGGTGTATCACTTCATTACCATGCCCGGTGAAGGAGTTTCAACCCCGAGAGCTACTAATCAGTGCCCAAAGGTCTGAATACAACACTCCGATACATCATGAGCTGTGTCCCTTCACTCAAGGCATCTCAGAGGTTAAAGGAAACCTCACTTTGTAGATGCTGGGAGATGCTGAGTGTTGCCCAACAGGTTTTGTGGAATGGATGGCTTATGGTGAGTTGCCAATCGGAAATGTCAGTGGAAGATAAACTTCAGAGAGACACCCATCCTTACACAGGTGTTATTTGCTCAACCACACTGCTACCTAGTAGACTCACAATCCTTATCATTTGCCTGTTTCCTTTTTATCCCCGATTTGGGAATAACAGCACTGAGCCTAGTAAGGCTCAGGCTTTGTTACAGACACATTTTAACATGGTAAGAACACCAACATCCAGTCCCTTACCTCCTCTACAATAGCAAACATCCCCACCCCAGCAGCAGCTGCATTTTGGTATTGGGTGTTTGGTCCTGTTAGAAGAGAGAGCTGAAAAATTACTCCTGCAAGTAGTAAGAGCACTGCTCCCCAACCCCTTCAGCATGGAGCATGTTTCAAAGCCCTTCTCATGTTCATCTGCAGCTGTGGGTTAGTGACTTATCCTGGCTCATCCAACACCCCAGCTCCAGGAAGAACTGAAGGAAGCTGCAAGCCTGGGTCAGCTCGACTTCACGGAGAGCAATGACAGCCCTGGGAAACCAACATCTCCCAAACCTTCCACTCCCTTAGCAGTGGTGTGCTCCCCATGTGGAGCTGCTGTGATGCATGCCATCCTGACTCAGCTTCCTTGGAAGCATGTCTCTTCTAGTCAATGCCCTCTCCAGTCATACTTAGCTTGGAACAGAACACAACTAGGACTATGTTCCAGAGCCCTTGAGGAAAAGATGAAAGGAAAAACTTCAGATTATCACTGCACACACTCTAGCTCATCTGATGCATCTACTTCCCTCATCCAACAGTCTCTTCCAGAGAAGGGGGAGGGAGAATCTTTTCCTGCAGCTGTACAAAACTGTTCTTCATCCTTGGCACTAATGTAACCTAGCTTCAGCTCAGGGAAAAAATCATTCAAGGTGTACGTCTGTACCTGAAAAGGCAAAAAATGATGAAGTGCATCTAAGTGTGGTTTCCAGTGTCTGGAATAGGCCTTTGCAATGGAGTCCTTTGCAGAGATGTTGTGATTTTAAACCCACTGTTTTTCAGACAAAAACATAATTATCATCACCAGAATCTTGAAAATCCAACTCGGCAACAGATACCCCAATTTTTGCACAGCAAGTTATGGACATCATACAGAAAAGATCAGAATTCAATGAGATCAAGTTATAAACTAACCCAAGTGACAGGACAGGAGGACACCTGATGTCCTTAGCCAAGCAAACACTACGGATTCTTTCCTAGGCTATCAATAAATGGTATGTTTTCACCTCTTATCTGTTATTCTACATGGAAGGTACCTTCCTATCAAACATGTTTTTATCTTGACAATTGGCAGCCTGCTGTATTTAATCTTTGTTACCTTCCAATTAGCCCTGAACCTAGCACTGCTCTCTCGAGAGCTGGCTCCCCTGTGATGCCTCTGCCAAAACAATACCCATAGCACCCTGGATCTCCCTGCACAAGGACAGCCTTCTGGTGTCAACTCAAGCCATCACTTGTTTGCTGCAACAGACACACTTTGATCCATCTGTTGTCCCTATAGACCACAGTGCTGCTCTGCTGGAAAGTGATGCCTTGAGGAGAAGGGCTGAGGAAGCAGGGGTGAAAGAAAAAACCCTTTGAGAGTGCCAGCTCACTCCCTACCAAGGTAGGATGTTTCACGGGTCATAAATAAAAATAAATAGTTTATACAAATAAATAGTTCATTTTTAAGACAACTAATATCTTGTCAAACAAGTGAGAAACAGAACTGGGGGATTCCACAAGCAAAGGCAAAATCTGCTACAGCTGATTAAAAAGGAAGATATTTCTACTGTTATGTGTATCAGGGGTTACAGCGGCTCTCATACAGCTAAGGTATGAAAGGATTCCCAGGATTCTCCAGGCAGTGCAGCCGTATCTCAGGGCTGCTGGTGCATCTTACAACCACTACCTATGTATTTTGCATTGGGAACAGTGATTCCTCTTCCACAGCAGGAGAAAAAGAAGTAGAAAAGCTATGAAAGGACAGAGAAAAACAAAATGATGTAACCAAATAGATTTATTGTAGAAACCCGCGGAGACACATTCTGGCCCCCATCAGGGCAGGGATTTTGGGACCAGTGAACCATTGTGATGTGCAGTTTGTCTTGACAGACTCAAACCAGTTTTGAACAAAAATATGACAGTATTGTACAGGCTAGCCTCAGCAGAACAAGTGCTCAAACAGCAATCCTGTTCCTCAAGACCCTCCCACAACCTCCAGGAGAATAACAGCACATCCAGAGAATTAACCAAAGAGGCATACTGAGACTGGTCAGCCCAAAGGCACCCAGCGTAGGCAAAAGCTAGAGTATGCCTTCTAACATGCTGACTGCCTGGTACATCAGGATGAGTTCCATGGGGCTAACCACTGCTCCCAGCATGTGTTTTCACTCACAGAACAGTCTCAAGAACATCTAGACTGAATCTTCATAGAAAGTCTTTGCCATGGCATGTGCCACTTTTACCACCTTCTTCTCCTTGGCATCCAGGCCCATATTGCTGCGGGCTAGTTTAATCCAATACTGCTCCGTCCTCGACAGGTAGTCTGCATGGCTCTCATCAAGCTGAACAGACGGGTGTTGCTCCTCTTCTAGTACACAGTGGGAAGAAGACAAAAAGAGAGGTGACAAACAGTGAATGAAGGCACTGCTCTTCAACTCAGCCAAGACTGCTCTTAATGTGTTTAAATGTAACAGCCTAAAATCCTATCAGTCATGAGTAGAATTTCTCTTCTAACCTGAGAGCAGTGCACTGTGAAAACTGCTTTTGCTAGAAAACTCACCTGGATGACAATGAAGCCCCCCAGGCTGGCAGCAGAACCAGCACGTACTGTACTTTATATTAGTATGAAGAAAACATTCATCTTAATTATTACCTCCCTCATCTTCACTCTCCTCTTCAGAGCTCTCCTCTTCTTCTTCTCCTCCCTCTGCACCTTCCTTATCATCCTCCTCTTCATCTGACTCAGAATCCTCCAGCCATTCTTGTGCTTCTTTGATGAGAAAGAAAATAAAATAAATAAATAACAAGCTGTTTCCCACTCCTACAGCCAGAACTATCATGGAAGATCTGGGCAAGGTCAGAAAGATGTGCTTCTTAAGACCCCTGCTCTATTCACTGCCTCAAAGATCCATCCACTGTACAGTGCCTGTATCTGATGGGAACAATGGGAAGAGATGAAATAGGAAGAAGTGAACAGCACAGAACAGCTGTGGAAGAGAAGCTGGTTAGTGCCAATGCTGACAACAGTCAGCTCTCCTCCCTAGCACTTCACAGTTCAATGATCATGAGCCAGACACCTTCCTTTATGCCTTTTGCCAATTACCACATGCAGACTGCGAGCTTCGAGGGCAAGGTCACCTTTTGTGATCACAAAGCTCTGGACTAGACTGGTTTCCACAGTGATGGTGACCGTAACACACTGCATATCACGTAATTCCAAACTTTCTCCTGTCCGGGAAAAAACACTACTCAAAGGCTCACCACCACGCCTTGAGGAAGCTCCACAGTTGTTTTGTTGGTTAGTTTTTCTCTTCCCTAGTGTAGTGCTGCTACACTAAAAGCAGAGAGAGAAATCCCACCATCAGAACTTACCTGGATCCATCTCCACTAGCACCTTCCATTCTTCCATCTTGTGTAGGTCGATGCTGTAGAGGTCACTGAGGGTGAACTGGCGATCACCCACCTCAAACATTCCCCCATACACATAGAGAACCCCATGTTTCACTGCCAACATGGCATTTGAACGTGGGCATGGCTCCACTTTCTGTCCCAAGGCTCCGTCTTCCTCCTCCTCCGATTCAGACCTCTCCTTTTCTTCTGCGGGTCCAGAGATCACCTGCTTGATTGTCATGACAGTCCCATCTTCTGCCACCACCTCTTTGACTATTTCTACTGGGCCTTGTGGAGGTTGCTTCCCCACCTCCTCATCTCCAGCACCCTCTGCCTCAGCTTTTCTGCCACGTCTCCGCTTCCTCTTCTCTGATTTTGGTCCCTGTTAACAGCAACAAGGAACAGAAAGAGACTGAGTGTGAATTGCCTGCACCTAATAGCATGTACAGCAGTTACTATAACTACTATGGATGCTGCTGGGAGGGAGGAGAGGGAGAATTCAATCGCTTTTCACTACAGCTATAAGTCTCAAGTAATAGGTGCAGCCTCCCACTCAGCATAAACTTCTACCAGCCATAAAACAAGGAACAATGAAACTCCTGGAGAGCCCAAAGCATGAAGTTGCTTCCTCTATTAATGGCAGCATGTGCTGAAGAAGCAGAAAACAGCTATTTTGCTCTCTGTCTTGCAGGTACACGCAAACATGCAAGCAGTCCAATAGTCTGATGAGAGCAAGAGAAAGTAACCCCCATTTTTGTGAAATCACAACAATTGCCAGGTGCTAAATTACAGTGCATGACCAGGAAGCACTCCAGGTCTTCAAAGAACACAGCAAGGAAAGCAGAAGCAAACATCTGAGTGCCTGTTTGCCTGTTACTATGTGATTGACTTCTGTTTGAGAACAAAGCCAGAAACAGTGGGGAAGAAGGAACTTCTTCACCTGCACCTCATTTGCCCTTGAGAGTGGTTCAAACAAAATCACAGATCAGAGGGCCGCATTTGTGAAGTTTTTATGAGCCAAGGTTAATATTTCATCTCTTTAGTAACTCCTCAACACTGGGGAAAAGAGAGGGTTTTTTTGATCCCAATGCAACACAAGATCTTTTCACAGTAGCTTTTACTGAACTATCTGATGTCAGATTTATATATCTGACCTAGAGCCAGCCTCCAGTAAAACACTGTTAACGATGTTTTCATGCTGCTTTGTTTCATTTTGCATTACACAACAACGGGACACATTCAGCCTGACTCCTTAGGAGGGAGACTGCTCCTGAACCACTCCCACTTTGCGCCCAACCATC